TCTGTGAAATTCTATCAATAGATTGTGGACTTTATTTCAAAACGTTCAAGGTATAGAATGTGTTAAAGAAAGACATACTAGTACTTATGTAGATCATGAAGTGTAGCGTAAAATATAGCATTCGATACACTTCGTATCTGTGTTATGAAATTGAACAAATATTGGCAAAGAGATGATACTTTATGGCGACATGGTTATGAGTATAAAGAGTAGATAGTATAAAAATCTATGAACTAGACGAAGCTTTATGCAAATAATCCATACTATGCAATTTTATCATACCCTCCCCATGTTGAAAACTCTCCATAAATTAATGGGGAAAATATATAAAGTCTGCCATTTTATCGGGGGACAGAAACTATACAGTTCCTTCTAGTACACTTGTGCATATTCTAATTATGTTAACACGTCGAGTTACTTAAAAGCTTAGCTTCTTTAATGATACGTGCTTGAGCAGAGAGTTTTATAGTAAACTATATCAGTTTAATCATTTGTTTTTTTGTTTGTTTCACTATCCTCTATGACCAACCGCCACGGCATCGAAAAGGGTTGCTATTCCCAGACTTTCCACTCTGTTTATCGAAATCAGACTAGCCCTTCTTGCACAATGCCATCACTAAGGGGGAATTAGGATTATTTTTCGTATACATAGACTACCTATCTTAATTTGTGGGAAGACCAAGATTCGGCACGAATGGGCCGGCCGGCTTGACCGGAGTGATACCACGGCCTCACAGAAAACTGGCGTGAAACAAGCATACAGTTGTATTTCGTCATGTAGGTGTGGTTACTTGAAGTCCAGTCCAACCCTCCCGCAATCCCTTCCCAATCTCTAACCGGCAATGCATTTGTAAATTCTCTGGAGTTGCAGGTGATCATGACCGGCTTCGACTGCTTGCAATCAGGTAAACCGTTTTGCTCGATTGCCATTGGTTTGCTTTTTCATGTTAAGCTTATATCCATCTAAAAGTTTTTTCACCACCAATTATAAACTACGTAATCCGTAATCCTCGATCTTCTGGAATGCGGATATTTCATCGTACTAGAGTAGGCCTTTAAGACGCTATGCATAGTTTATAACTTAGAAGTCTAGGACTTGATACCTTCACGAACTGGCGTCTACACATTAACGACTACATCAACAAGGCAATAAAATAAATTGTTACTGCTAATGTAACTGCCCCCACATACGCAGACTCAGTGTAAGAATCTTCAGGTAATTAGAGATCAACTGTTATTGCATTCGGCTAAGCGATGTCACTGTTTGATTACCTCTTTAATAGTTATGTGCACCTAGTACTTTCCTCCTGTTATGTATCGCAATGTAGGAAATATAAATCGTCTTGCAGATAGGCAGGTTAATGTATGTCTGTTGCATTGCAAAATACGTGTTATGTATCGACACATAAGTCATAAATTACCTATTTTGAATAATTACAGTAATCACCCAACAAAATGTTACGAAAAGTAAAATTAAAACAATTAAATCGTCTATTATGTTTACGGAAATTATGTGGGGAATGTTTTTATTCGTTACAAGAACTGAATACATAAATTTTGCACACATGTATCTAAGACAGGTGTGCTAAAGAAATATTTTTAACAGCTGATTTTAATAGGATGTAAACCAAATAAATAGTCTTGTCGTAGTCGAGATAATATTAATTCATCGGTTTGGCTTGATCTTCATATTTTGAAGTCATCATGGTATACAATAAATCAGAATAGATTTAATGAAACACCAATATAATGGTGTTTTTGCTGACATGACTTTTCAGTATTAATAAATGTTTTATATTGACGGTAAAATAATAAATAAAATAACAATACTAGTAAAATAGCATATAGTTATCCGGAGATTATTCGGCCGAATAAGGATGAATAATTAAGGGGTAATTCTAATGATCTATTTCCCAAAACTTACGGCTATATTTTATTATTTTCAATATAAAAAGAAATATAAATGCCCATCATATATTATTGTGGACGGTGATGTCATGTTATTTCCAAACTTTGTTTTGTTTTCCCATATTACTCAACCAGTTACGTGAAAAACTCATCAATGATTTGGCAATACTTTGAAAAGTGGGCGGGCAACAAATATATCTTTAAATCGATGTCTTTTCCAACATCAAACAGATGTGCTTGACTTGATTAATGATGTACTAATATCAAGTGTTTGACCTACTGTTGAGTTATTAATTAGAAGTACCTATAACCTTGATTAAAAGAGGGCACCATACGTGATTTAAATTGGTTAGGTATATTTTTATATATAGAATTAAAGTAAAATGCTTAAGGCTGTTTTTTTTTTGAATAGTCAGATAAATGTTATCTTAGGAATAAAATTGTTGCTGTCACTGTCTTATACAAACATTCTGACGTGACCATCATAATTATTCCGCAGGTAACTTTTATCTAACTATTAAACAATCAGCCCTAAGTCGGTTAAGAAAATAAAATACTTAATTGCATCTACAATTCAATTTATTGATACGATTGAAATCTGCATTATACATAAGTGCTCTTTTCTGCACTGTTTTAATCAGTAGAGAAGCCAGAAGAAAAATATTGCCAATGTCAGCAGCTAAATAACCTTTTTTCTTTAAGTTAATACTGTCCTAAATTAAACGAATATAATAATAAGCCGTTTAAAATGTAATCTTCAATCGATCGTATTGCAAAACCTACATTTAAAAGACGCGTGTATCTATGAAGTGATTAAAAAACAACTAACAAATAAATATGTTTGCATAAGATATAAAGAAGTATATTTAAATGCGTACATTTCTGAACCAGTTGTAGTAAAGATTTATGAAGATGTTCGACCAAGCCCAATCAACATTGACGCTTAGCTTACTCGTATATTTTTGTTTCGTCATATAATTAACTAAGTTATATATGTACAAGAAGTTGCCAATTACAATGTAATCGTTATGTACAGTGTATAGCTAATGTTTTTTTTCGATGAAGTAATAGAAGATGAGCTACTTGCTTCCATTTCTTTTTTGTTAATTTTTTTATGGTATAATTTGCCAAAAAAATGCTCGGATCAACTAATGGCAAGCAATCAGTTACTCAAGAAAGCCACTAAGGGAGTTACAGCTGTGTGTTACCGCTCTTTTAGGGGTTGTTAAAGATTTGAGGATTGGTAGACTGAGCGAAGACTGTGCCTCCAGTAACCTCATTCAACAACGCAACCCTCGTTTCACGTCGGTTTGCTGTGAGGCCGTGGTATCAGTATCAGGGCGTTACCTCTCTTTTAGGGGTTGTTTTAAGATTGGTAGAGTGGGGGAGGGGAGGGAAAGGGCTGATAACCTCTCTCACATGACGAAACGCAAAAGAAGAGTTTTTTCACGTTAATTTGTAGTATACGTGGTATCAGAATGAATCATTCTATCTATTTCAAAACACCACATCATAATCTGTCACGTAGATTTACAGATCTAAGCATACATAGGGACAGACAGCGGGAAGAGATATTGTTTATACTACGTAGGGATTTGTCATGACCCAGTGGTGTCAGAATGGACCACATTTATTACCGCTCCTACTGTTCTTGGCAGAGTTTTATATTTGAAAGAGTCTGTAAACGAGTGCTCTTTGTAGAATTTTAGCAAAACCTACATTAAAAACAAAAAATACTTCAGAGAAGATCCAGCGGCGAACTATACTCAATACTCAATACTTTATTAGTATTTCATATGTTATACAGGTGGTATTTTTAATAAGTCGAACAATACATTGGAAACAATATGGACCCGGTTGGGAACAGCTTTAGCAGGTTAGAGAGGCTAGCAGTTCAAATCATGTTATTACCCATCAAATCATGTTTGTTATTTTTAAATCGTGACAGATGTTTTAAAGGACGCCATATTTTTTTTTTCCCAAAAATCTATTTTGTTATTCTTTCAGACGCCAATGAGATTTATTCAAAAGGAAATGACCGAATAAATCCAACCTGTCTCAAGATTTCGGTTAGCAACATAACGCGTTTTTTTATATAAATAAAAGATTTTGCACTAAGCTACTAAAAGCCATTCAGTCGAAATTTTAGAGAAACTGCAATAAAATTCTCGAACTCTGACTTCTAACGTTATGTAGATTCCTCTAAGTCTCCAAGTTGTCTAAATAGCTATTTCACCTATACGTTCAGAAGCGATATATTTCCATTTAAAGTAGTCAAGTTTTTTTTTACCTAATCTGTTCCTACTTAAGAACATATTACTATACCTTCTAGAAGTAGATATGGATTTAACAGTTAATTTATTAAACTTAAACCTTGTTAAGAACCAGTTCAGTCGTTCAAGGCAAGGAATTAGGATTACGTTTTTAAAATGATGTGTTCCTTCTTTAAATTTTGTTAAAAAAAGGTAAAATGTCAAAATTTTGCCATTATGCCGTCGCTCATTCAGCCTAACTGTCTGCTGTATGCAAATAAATCGAAAGCGCTACCGTCCGCCTACTACAACTCATTCTCCAAACTATGGTGCGTCGTTTTATTATATACATAATAGTTGATTTATTCTATTAAATTGTTTTGAAAATAGTTCAAAATGGTACTAATGATTTTTAGAATTAGATATTTCACTTCAATGTATAAGTAGGTATTTTGTACGAACTGTTTGCTTGGCCATTTGTATTTTTCAAACCTACCACCGAAAGTAGTAAGGTACATTTATTAGGGCAAAGTCTGAGCTGATCTTCGATTTCTGAGGGCCAAGGCCACCAGCATTCAGAACTTCAAAGTATAAGTTTTTCATACATTCAAAAACTTTTCAGTGCAAGACCCAAAACACTTTCAGCAATCATTGACACCATATTTGTAGCACAGGTGCATTGAGAAAGTATTGCAAAAACTTGATAAAAATACCTACATTTATGCTTGTAAGTCGTAGTGAGTAGTGAAAGCACGCAACCGGGTTGGTCGTGTAGACTATATTGGCGGTACGGCGCTCTACCGGAGTGAGCGCTTTCGGTCAAGCGAAGCCTCCAACACACGCGCATCTCGTGGGAATGTTTCCGAGGTATAAAAGAACGTAACGTTGTGTTTCGCTGAACCATTGCTTTGCATGTACCCGCTCGCTCCATATACCCATCTCCGGACAACACACAGGTATATCAGTGTTGTGATACCGTGATAACAGTGTTGTGATGTGTAGTGCTGTGATCTGATAAGTCTGTTTTCTTTTGACAGAAAGTGCGGCGCCGTGACGTCACCATGCGGTTTTATTTACTGGTAAATGTTCCTTAAGTTATATAAGAATAATGAGTATTCCGCAATTGACATAAAGTTCAAGTTTGTTTCTCAATAGTGTTTGTAACTGCACTTTATGGAGTCATCAGTAATTTTGCGTATTTGGATCCGTTGACATTTGAACTTGTCGATGACTAACGTTGCGTACATATACATCAACAAAAATGGACGCTTATGAAGACATAAATATGAAAACATTGAAACCCTTAAGGATAATTTAGAATTAGTAGTTTCCTTAAAGTAGTGTCCAACCTTTTTAATAGGTCTGTTAGATCTACAGACGACATGAACTTTATCATAAAGCTTACGTCGTCTAGCTGGACGGTAATTTGCAAAGTTAAACGTATCGGGTTCAATCCCCGATCGAAGCATCTGGTTTAATGGCCTTATTGTCGTGTTTGTAGTTATCAATTAAAAGTTATGTATATTCAATGAGTGAAAGAGACACACATAAACATAAAGATTTTGTGTCACAACCGGACCTACCTCACAGCTCATCTTCATAAATGGAAAAAGCATAATAATACTCAATATCTTGGAGGAGTAAAAGCGGATATATTTTAATATTATATCGGAATTTGATCAGTCACAAAACAAATTTACTCAAAAAACTTGTTTCTCTAGTAGTCACGTGAGAGTACGAAATGCGTAAGCGCATACTGCGGTGTTTAGCATACAAAAGCAAACTATTTCAACAACATAATTTTATGAGGGGTTTTTTTGGGGAAGAAATATCATCAATTCACTTCTCACACCCAGGGCGAGGTGTGAGAAAGAGTCAGAGTCTTGTTAACTAAAAACACCCCGTACTTTCTCCTGATCGCAGAACAGTAGCTTGATGCGCTTGCCCCGCAACCCCGGCAAGGAATGGTTTCTAAAGTAACATTCTAACATACTCAGACTTAATGATTATTTCAACTATTCTAAGCAATTTGTGGATCACAAAAAGTTGTTCCATGTGGGAATCCAACCTGCGACACGTGGGAAGGCAGCCGGTTGCTCATCACCATTGACCTGGTGTCATCACACATAGTCACATTATATTTATCATATCTCATATCTTATTATTCAATATTCTTTGTTCAATGTTGCAAGTTGCAAGCACAATTATAATGTACCGTGGTCCCTAAGCTAGTCAGCAAGAGTCTGACACTTCCTCTTGCCCTGCCCAGCGTGAAAACGTCATTTGATGATGTTTTGTCCAAAAAAGTTAATTCTCTTATATTAGTTTTAATCCGGGCTGTTACTTCCATCGGAAAATTATTTGAGTAGATTATGGTGGCTACATAGGGTTAATGACATAATATATTATACCGGTGGAAAAGTTGGTAAAATATTTTGTCACATGCGAGCTTTGTCTATCACATAAGGAAATTAAAAGCCTGATATGATGCGCAGGCAGTTACACATTTTGGAATTAATAAACTCATTGACCGACACTTTAGTCTAAATTAGGTACTCGAAAAATTTCTTGATCATTCTCTAATATCCGATTTATCAATCAAAATTGGTCATGAGTTTTGTAAGTATGAATTTTCTATTTTTAAATAGAAAATTGAGAGATTTTTCGAGTACCTACTTTATATTAAAGTGTCGGTCTCCTTTACAAGTCTAATAATATTAGTTAGTTTAGTAGATAGGGAGTAAAGCTCTCTAAGTTGGAAAAAATTAGGACTATCCAACCAGGCGAGGAGATAGTGTCCAAAACTTTATACGTTGAGATTTTTATCTATCTTTAATCGCGCAAATTTTTTATTGTTTGTGACGTAACCTGTTGACAAATTACTGTCGTGGAACCTTTTATGTATATGTGTATGTCGCTACAATAAGTATTATGTATTGTCAACGGTCGGAGCACAAATACAATTATGATTTAAATTAAAAGTCGTTACTAATACAAGTCCATTTTGCTGGGATGAAAAGCAAAATAAAATGCACTATTTTACATAAAATCGTATATTATTTTATTCTATCAAAGTTACAAATATTAGTGTCCGATTTTTCTTCATTAATTTTATGGGCCCCAATCCCCAATAAATTTCTGGTGATTGGAACAAAAACAAAACTTCACTACAAGACGCGATTGCGCAATATCTATAGATTTGTAGGTCACGACAATTTGTTGACCTATAAATTGGTCAATGACCAGTATACCGTGTGACCTCAGATTTGACCTCACAAAAAGCAAAATTTCACTTAATCTAGGAAGTTGTAGTTATGTTTTTGGACTTCTTTAAAATTTCTACCTACTTACATAATTGATTTACTGTATGATCTATGCCCACTTAGTTTTTATATCATATTAATTGGCTAATTAGGTATGTAAAAATTCCAAATGGTAATTAGCTACACATAATAATCTATTCATAAATAATTGTGCTACTTATTATAAACACGAAAGATTATGTCATTTGTTTAAGATGTCAGCCCCATATTTGGGGGCACGGCATGCGGCAGTGCTCATAGTGATTTGGCCACAGCAGTACAATAAGATACAAAATATAAAACTGCAAAGTAAATAATACCAGGAGACCTTAACCAACAGTCGGTATCATCCAAGATCAGCGAACCGCACATGCACTTTGGCACATGTTTAGTCCATGGTGATCTCAAATCAGTTACAACATCATGTCCGTATATGAATAATATACATAACAATTCAACGGTATCTGCAAGTAATTACAAGGAGCAAATGGCGTTTAACTTTTGCCCGTAGCAAAGTCACTGTTATTGTGATGTTAAACAAACTACTATAGTCACAAAATATTGATTTATTATTATAAATTATGTTGAATAGGGCTCGGCTTCTGTAAGAATTGCGTAGAGAGACTTGGCTATTTTTACTTTTACAATATTTTTTTTGGTGGGATTAGTATTTCATTATTACGTTTATACCTCAGAATACAGAACAAACCAGAAGCCGCGTTCACTCATAATTACATGTCGTCAAATGTGTCCAAAAACAATACGTCAATCCCCCCGCCAGCCGCACTTCCCACCCGCGTAGTGTTGCCGACAGTGGAACAATTCCCTTGGTTTGGGGTAATTTTACAATAGGAGGGTAAGATATATTTTGTTGGGTAACCCAACAAAAATACGTAAACTTACTATAAATGTTAATGTTAATTTTAGTTACACCTACTATACACAACAAATAAAACAAAGCTTCAATAAGTGCGAAGGTTTAGCTTTTGCTGGTTTAGTTTTTTATAATATGTATTGTCTTTAGACTAGAAGTCTACTTACCTACTTTACTTAGTTCCTGAGATTAGCGAATTCAAGCAAACAAACTCTTCAGCATTATAATTAGTATACCTATAGATATATCTTAGTAGGAAATGCTGTTCAAACCACCTTTGTCATAAATACATATATCTCTTCAAAGTAAATTGAGCAAACTAAGCTCTGGCTAGATGGTTTCCAAAATGAATCTAGCCGTGCCTTCTGTATGATTTTTATTTTTTTTGTTAGATAATGGACAGAAATATAACCCACAAAAAATAAATAAGTGTGTAAAATTTTCACCAAAAATGACAACACTCACAAAATGGCCGCATAATTTTCATAGAAAAATAAATCGATTAAAAAAAATTCAATAATTAATTAAATATACTATTGCAGTCGATGCTTGCAGATGAAATGTAATCTTATCCACTTTTTTCGTATTTCCAGCCGCATTTTTACTCGTAGTAAATAACACAAGACGGCATAATGAAATTAAAATTGATACTCGTAAATACGTCACGACATGCCACGTGCCAAAATTGACTAATCGTAGAAATTTCATACTACTATAGTAAAGAGTGGTTTTAGTTGCTTCTGTTTTAAGCGCGATAACGCCTTCTGGTTTGTTCTGTATTCTGAGGTTTATACAGACCTGGAACAATTTGTGCGTCACACACAGAGTTGTCAGTTGCCCAGCCGATGACAAACATTCGATCGAATATCTAATAAATCAGTGAAGTTTTTTGAACACATTTTTTTGGAAATGGATTTCATCGTCATCCTTTCGTAGTCCACTATTAAAGTGACTGGACCGACCGACTGCCTGCATCAAAGTGTATCTGTTGTTGATAGGGATCGTAACTTAAAAGCTGCCTTATCTCTGTCATTTGTACCTGTAGTCTTTGTTTGTTTCAACAACCAGTAACATTTTATTATCTACTGGCAAATTCTTACTATTATGATTTTCATGAATTCATTTTTTTTGTATCCATTAGTCGGTTCAGTAGACAAACAATAGTTACTCACTCTCTCTCTACTGAATTAATCCTACTTTTGAATCTGCTTCAAATGAAATAACTGTCCAGAGTTTACATAATAAAAAATAAAGGTTAATAAGAACTTGTTAATAGTATAATAATATATAACTTACTAGTTGATGAACAGAGGTTTTACTTAAATAACTTTTTTATGACTAAGCTTGATGTTATTTAAGTAACCAGCTTTAAGACATCTAAAGAGAAGTTCATTTTCTTGTTTTTATATTGCCATTTTGTATGTTCGTTTCCGTTCACGGGATCATAGGATCCCGGACCTTTGGAAGGCGTACGAGGGGCCGAAGCCAACTCGCAGAGGCCCTTTGAACAGTTTTAATCTAATTTGATGGGACATCAGCCGGCAATTATCCCTGTTTGCACTATGAAAGTGCACCCAAGGATAATCCCCGGTTGATGCAGGACTATTGCGAATTGTGGTAATAAACGAAAGGGTTATGGGTATGGGTTGCTATGGACTAGTGGATATGATAACTATGGAAATACTATGGCCCCTGCCCCTGACCAATATTGATACATACGGATAAACAGTATTGCCATGCCATTTTGTTATTATTATTTAGTTATTTCTTACTTAATACATTATCAGGCAATCTTGACTATTTAAAAGCCATTTCTGTCCCCTTTCGTACAAGTATACGACCTATTATGGCAATCATTTATGTCTGCAATGATTCAAAATAATCATAGGTGTCAATAAAATGG